GTCTGCCCCCGCCCCCAACTATCCCACCTGTGAAATCACAGGGCACTGGATGGCTATACTTGGCTGTCAACTTGACTTCATCTGGAATTAACTAAAATCCAAATAGCTAGGCATACCTGTGAGGGATTTTTTTTTTCCTTAATTAAATTACTAGAAGTGGAAAGATCCCCTTCTAATCCCAGATCTTTGAGGTGGGAAGATCCCCCTTTAATCTGGGCCACATCTTCTGCTGTCAGCCTAGATAAAGGACAGGGGAGAAGACAGCTTGCTCTCTCTTTGTCTGCTTCCTGTCACTCTCACTGGAAGCACTTCACTGGCATTAGAGCCAACTTCTTCAGGGTTCCAGTGTACACTGAACCAGCCGAGTCATCCAGCCTCAGGGACTGAACAACTACAGGGTTCCTGGACCTTCCATGGGTAGTCAGCCATTGTTGTACTAGCTGGACCACAGCCTGTAAGCCATTCTGATACACACACACACACACACACACACACACACACACACACGCACGCACGCACGCATGCACGCACGCACGCACGCACACACACACGCACGCGCGCACACACACACGCACGCACGCACGCACACACACACACACGCACACACACACGCACGCACACACACGCACGCACGCACGCACACACATGCACACACACACACGCACACGCGCACACACACGCGCGCGCACACACACGCACGCACACGCGCACACACACGCACACACACGCACGCACACGCGCACACACACACGCACACACACACACGCACGCACACACACGCACGCACGCACGCACGCACACGCACGCACACACACACACGCACACACACGCACGCACACGCACGCACACACGCACGCACGCACACACACACACACACGTTCTGTCCCTCTAGACAACCCTGACTGATACAGAGCACTTACAAACTACAAGTGAGGCTGCAAGTGCTGGCACTCGCCTTTAATCCCAGCACTTAGGAGGCAGCGGCAATCAGATCTCTCTGAGTTCAAAGCCAGCTTGGTCTATAAAGAATAAGACCTTTTCTGGAATAAAGTTCATAACTGTTCCCAAGGCAGATAGTGCAAAAGCCCTCCAGGCCAAGATCTGTGGCAATAGAGACTACATACTGGGGGCTGTCAGGTTTCAGGGGTGCTTGCCTCATTATCCGTGCATACACAGGTGTACACCCATATGTACACTCTCTAACAGATCTGTTGCTAAGGCCAGGCAGCCCCGCATCCGTCTCTCCAGTTCCCACAGTACCCAGCCACAGTCACACAGAAAGATGTGCAGCTAGATCCCAACATCCACGCCTTGAAGAATGTCATCTTCCCTAATGCACACAGACAATCAGAACCCTCCTTATGAAAAAGGCCCTAGACTGTCTCCTACACCCAGGGCCGAGCCCCCCACAGACAGCCAATCCCCTGCCACCCTCACCAGGTCTCCTCCCCACCTCACTACTGCCCAGCAGGTAGCCTGAGGCTTTCTTCAACATGGACAGTATGCACCTCTCCTAACAACTTCCGCCTAACATGTCTGCCTAAACCACTCACTATCACTACAGTGAGGTAAAAACAACATCCTACAAAGTTCGTCTCAAGTACCACCTCCTCCATGAAGCCTTCCTGCAAAATGCCTCATCTGTCCTCTTCGGAAACCCTCAGAACCGGCAGATCTTCATGCCATCTGCCCTGGTTACTAGACCATGCCACTTGCCCCACTCAACCTGAGCCCAAGCAGCAGTCTGCCAAAACTCGCTGAGGCAGCAGAGTGGCTGGACCCTGGCCTACAGACAGAAGACCCTGAGCAAAAGCAAATGACACTGACTTCTCCAGGACAGGAGTGCCTTCCAGGGTACATGATAGACCAGGGAAGCTTCCTGAGGCCTCTGACAACAAGGAGGCTCTGACTATCTGGTGTCTGCCTGCCATGACCAGAGAGAACCTTGCCATACCACAAGTCACACATCCCAGCTCAGGCTGCAAGAGCCGTGTTCACCCACACACCGCTATGCCAAGCTGACAGCTCCCAACAGCCACGTCACATGGGACAGAGACACCACCAAGCCCAAAGGAGCTGTTCTTCACTCCCTACCGCTCCAGCTAGGCACAGACTTTATTCGTTATTGCATAAAATGCTTTCAGTGGTGACAAAACTAACACCATGGACAGAGAGAGAGAAAAACCCTGAGGATGAGCGAGGAGCAGAGAATGGCCACAGGCCCATGGAGGGACAGCAAGTGTAAACAGAAGGACAGGCTAGCTAGCCACATGTGACCCCTTAAACAAGCAAAAGAAAAACAAGGGCTGAGAAAACTCAAAGCCAGCACACCACACCAGGCCTGCCCTTCTGTTTTTCCTGGGGCACTACCCTGTAGATGTCGTTTTCCTAACACTGCTTCCAGGGGACAGTTAGTGCATGGAACCAGGCTGCTCACCCCCCCATAACAGTATATTTTCAATAAAGAGGGGTGGAGGTCAGGATCTGGAAGCTTCATGGGACTGTGCAGGTACATGAGTTAGAACTCAGGTCTGGACATTGCAATAAAAGCTCAGGAGAGACCCAGTTCATCCTAGACTCAGATTGGAGAGTCTGCACAGCTGTCTGAGCTCCACAAAAGGTCAGACACCCTGGGCCCAGAAAGCAGCCCAGACCCTACTCATGGAAGCCACCCTGGGGACACTGGGGGCACTGAGGGCTGACACACCTGGCTTTGTAAGGGTCACCTCTGGCTTGGGAAGATGTCATGGGGATGCAAACCTAAGGAGAGAAGACAATCTTTCTGCATGTGGGCATCTGCATCGCCTCATTTACAATATCAAAAAGGTGACAGGAAGCACTGAGCCAGTCCAGGACAGGAATATAAACAGTAAAGGGAACCAAGCTTCATCCGGTTAACAGAGCCACTCAGGAAACCTTCAAAGACTGTAATTATACAGGGCATGGGAGGTGGGACATTAACAGCTTTGCTGATGACATCACTTGCTTGTTCTCTGAATGGAAATGAAAGCTCAGCTTGTATCTTCATGCATCAGGAAGACTCAGAGCATCTGAACACAAAGTCAAACTCCCATCTTGCCCAAATCTTTAAAATGCTACCTGTTAGGGCAACACTAGAAAACAGCAGGGACGGGCAATGCTTACAGCATGCGATGTAAAAACTTTTTTCTATTCTCTTATTGTTCTCAGATACTTTATAAATGAATCTTACTTTTAGATTGAAAAAGAAGTCATGTCATTAATACACATGAGGACCTAGTTAGAGCCCCAGCACAAGGAAAAAAAAAAAAAAAAAACCTTAAGTATGTGAGATAACCTTTTCGCTCCAAACAAAAAGGTAGGCAGACTGTCCACAGAGACTTAGCTGGCATCTCTGGAACTCTGGTCACTAAGTCCAAACACATAGCTTTGGGAGCACAGGATAAATCCTGCCTCCCAGGCCTCACACACCCCATTTTCACTTTCCCGAAGAAAGGAAAAAGAATGCCCAGAAACAAACTAAATAACCAAAGAAGCAGGAACACAGCAGTTACACAGGAACAAAGCCACCAACCAAAGCACAACAGTAATGTCTACAATGAACACAGAAACACAAAGAACAGCAATAAAGAACCAAACCAGGACAGTGTTCATGATGTCTGAAAACGAAGTGTCCCTTCAAAAACTGCAAGGATTCCAAACAACCTGCTCAGCTGGACCAGACTGTGGCAACACAGTCGGGATTCTTGCGGCAGCCGACAGGAATGGCAGAACACAGCCCAGACACCACAGGAAGCTCAGGACTGCTGGCTCACTTTCTCACCACAGACTTAGTAACGCATGGGCATATGCAAGAATATCTCTGGAAGCACACTAACATTTGCCTAAAGAACCCAGAAAACCCTGCGCATTTGGTCTGAGAGAACTCCTTCTACTTCCCATAGGTGTCTGAAGGTCCCGACCTGCCATGGAGAGCCCAGATGGCCTATGCCCCACACCAGCTTTCTAGTAAAGGTCCCACCATGGCTTTCTTCAGTAGACATGGCCCCCTCAGCAGAGCTGGGGGCAGTACTTAGCAGCATCTTCTCTGCCTGTCTCCATTTGTAAAGCTAGGGGAGAGGACTCTAGCAGAATCTAGTAGATCCCTCTGAGATTCACTGCTTGGCTTGGAGCTAGGGTAACAGGCACTTTCCCTTCCCTGAAAACTAAAGGAGCTGTACCCCAAAATACGCATTGGCCTAGAGTCCAGGGACCTGCTGGTGGATAGAGGGAGGGGAACCCAGCAAGGACAGCATGCTTCCTCCCAACCTGATGTCCTGCAGGACGAGACTGGCCAGGCACTCCTGGCCCATCAAGTTGCCCGTTGCACACTTGTTTAGCCATGAAACCCTGTGATCAGACAGAATCTTACTCCAAAGTCTAATGCATGACAGACAGTGGTGGTAACAGCAGACAGCTTCTCGAAGTTGAGTAGGGTACAGTCAAGAGAGGTGAGACGGAGACAGAATGGCTCCTAACTCTCCAGGACTACTCCAGTGGTGGAGCATCCCTACAGGCCCAGCATCCACAGGAGACAGGCAGGAAACAGCTCACTGACTCGTTCAGGCCCCTCAAAGTGCCTTAGCCAAAGCCATGTACAGCTGGTGGCAGAGCAGCAGCCAGCACCCAGCCTTGGACTCTATGGAAACAGGAGCTACACCTGTCCCGGGCATTCCCAGAGAACTCTTGTGTGGGTCACCTGAAGGGGCAGAAAGCTGTCTGAGAGGCAGGTCTAAGTCAGGTAGGCATGACTTCAAATCCTAGCTCTGCCACTTGAATGACTGCATCAGCTGTAGATGGATAACAATGTCTTGGTTTGTGTCATCCTCAACACTAGGAGATCTAGCAAGTGGACAAAGATGCACCTGGCTCTACGAAGGCCCTGAGCCCCAGCCTTCTTCACAAACGGGGCCCAGCCACACTGAGCCCAGAAGTGCAGAGTCTGACACCACAGGGCCACTGCTCCAGGTAGTCCAGGTTACCTTTGGGCATGATCTGGTGCATGGCGACTGAGAGGAAGAAGATGGAGTCGCTGTAGTAGGTCCCCGAGCCAGCACTGAAGTGCTTCTGCATGGCCTCCACGACGGGGAAGAGCTTGTCTGTCAGCACAGCAACATCATGGAAGATGACCTGTAGTGGGGAGCAGAAGGACCCCGAGTTAGCCAATCATCAGAGTTCTAGACATCAGACACACCCCTGAGCCCAGGAGGCAGAAACAGGGTAGAGGCTAGCTGGGGGGGGGGGGAGCACCTAAGGGCAAAGGAAGGGGGGAGGGCAGTAAGGGGGGGACACTGTTGGGGACAGGACAGTGGACAGGCTGGAGGAAGGATGGGAGTAGGCCCAGCTCCCTGGCTGCTTTCTAGTTTCAAACTTCAAGACAAGAAACCTGGCTCCTGGCCAGGCGGTGGTGGCGCACGCCTTTAATTCCAGCATTCAGAGGCAGAGGCAGGCAGATCTCTGTGTGTTCAAAGCCAGCCTGGTCTACAGAGTGATTCCAGGACAGCCAGGATTACACAGAGCAACCCTGTCTCAGGGAAAAGAGAAAAAGAAAGAAAGCTGGCTCCCTTTGTGCTGACGTGGTCATGCCTGCAGGAGAGAGGTCAGATGAGGGCACGCCTGAGACATTCTCAAACAGGTGAGCTCCATGCCCACTTACTTCTCCCCTGCCCAAGGCCCTGCCCAGGTTTCTCATGTCTCCACATTGCCTGCGCTTCAGAGCCTTTGGTCATTGCACCCCGCCCTGCATCGTTGCCCTCCCCCCACAGTGGGTTCTGCTCTTGTTCTAGAATGCTGATATTTCTTATTTCTCTCTGAACTGTATTCCTTTAGTTCATGTTTACTTCTGTCCTCATTCTCTGTCAATCTCCAAAACAATATGGAGCGTAGTTTAGCCATGATGGTAGCTCACTCCTATGAGTTCTAGCACTCAATAGGATGAGGCAGAAGAATTTCTCCAAGTTCAAGGCCAGCCTGAGCTACAACAGTGGGTTCCAGGCCAGCCTGTGTTACAGAACAGAACCCTGTCTCAAAATAGCAAGAAACCCAATTTAGTTTATCATGTGTTACTGCTCCCTGGTGTTGGGTCCGTACAACTTTACATCCTGTACCTGTCTGTAAAAGCTTTATTATATTTCTTGACATTTTGTTTCCAAGGTGCAATTTTCTTTCATCCATTTTCTGGCCATTCTTTTCTATGGCCTCCCAGGTCAGTTTTTTTTTTTGCTATTTCTCAACAATCCCAAATTACATCTGTCCCACACCTCTATGTAGCCCTGGCTGGCCCTGCCCTGTGGCTTCCCTGCATGGTTAACCTCATCCCTCCCAACATCCCCTGTGGCACCTCACAGTCACTTTCCAAATGCACAGATCTGTATCTCCCCTCTTAGCTTCAAAACCTCCAAAGCTCACTTCCCTCAGGTCCAAACCCCCACCAAGGCCTGCAACAGTGGCTCTAGGCTTCTCCCCTACCCTCATGGCTGAGCAAAACTGAACCATCCTCCTCCTCACCCCTTCAGCCGCCCCTTTATGACCTGTGCCCTCATAAACCTCTACTTGCTCCTCCCACGCATGGAACCCCTTTCCTGGCCTTCCCTCCGTTTATCCACACCTCCCATAATGCTCCAGGCCCTTCTTACACAGCATTTCACACTGGCTTCACTGGCTATGACTCTTTCCTGCCCTGTAACAGCTGGCTAGATTCACACCAGGCCACTGAAGAGCCATAGTCCCTTCGTGGGTGACACAGGAATGGCAACACTTACCCTTGTGGTGGCCACAAGGGCTCGTGGGACAAGCTCCGCCCCCCCCCAGCCAGGGGCTGCTGAGCTGCTCTCATCCCTCAGCCTCACAGCCTGCCCCTGCCTATGTCCAGTCCCCTGAATCTCTCCACACAGATCAGGAATCACTCATGGCACAGCTTTCCCAGCATCCCTCATTACACCTCCAAACCATCAATGCAGGCTGGAGTCAGACAAGATGCAGAAAGAACAAGAGGGCTTTCCAGAAGCAGACATCTCCACATTCATAGAGAGGAAACAGAACAGGCAAGTGTGAGTGTGTGTGTGCACGCACGTGTGTGTATGTGTGTATGTGATGTGTGTGTGATGTATGCGTATATATGTGTGTGAGTGTGTGTATGTATGTGTGTAGTGTGTGTGTGTGATATGTGTACATGTATGTGTGGTGTGTGTGTGTGTGTGTGTGGTGGAGAAATATACATGTGGGCAGGGCCTGCCTCAGCCACAGCCAAGCCCAGAGAAACAAAGTGCAGTCAGCAGCCCCTTACTCCCCCACCAGCCTCACATCACCCAAGCTTCCCAGGCAACAACTGCATCCCATCGGCATTAATAGATTTATGAGGACAAACTGGACTCAGTACATTTGTTCCAAGAGCTGTACTACTTATAGCCCACGTCAATGAATATTTCAGATAATAAATCTACTTATAGAAAAATTAATATATTTCATGGATACACTCATACAGCAGGAAGCAGGCCACAGACACAGAGTGCAAATCAAAACACCCAGCCTCCCAAGCAAGAAGCAGGTCTGCAGACTGTGATCTCCTCAGACTGCATCACTCCGGGACACCAGGGAGCACCCAGTCCGGTCCGGGTTCCAGAGCCTGGCTGAGGGCTGCAAACCCCCACCTCAAGAGCTACCAGAAGAACTGCCACAGAACCCAGGAAACCGGGAGTGTCAAGTACTGGTTACTGAAGGTGGTCAGTCAGTGAGAGGGTCAGGCGGCAGCTTATGCCAATGCAAGCTATGATTTACAGAGATACAGACAACAAACATCAGGTCACCACTTGTAACTTGTCACTTTACTTCACATACACATCTTAAAACTTCACATCCTACTGATTGTAAAACATTAGCCCTCAGTGACACTTACAGTAAATTCAGTAAAGAGAACATATTCCTAGACTAAGCGTCCTCAAAGAGTTTGTTGCTCAAAATGAAGTGTGTATGGAGAAAACACTGTGTACCAACCATAAGGGGCTCTAGGAGGACAACACGGGAAGATGGTTTCCGGGGAGAGGGTGTCTGGCCTCACTCCACCATGTATATCACATTCTTATCATTCCCAGCCTTGGAAGCCAGCACAACCAGCCACAGCTGCAGGAGCAGACACTTTCACCGGCACAGAGGGCCACCGGAGCCAGGCCATAGCTCCTGGAAACATCCCCTGAGGTCCTAAAACATCCCCCAAGCAAGCCCTTAGCTCAAAGTGAGGAAAATTCACTTAAGAAATGACAAACCCACTGGGAGCCAGACATGGCTAGAGCCAAGGAAGGAAGGCAATGAGCTGGCTCTGGGCACAGGAAGATTGGTTTCCAGGAAACTCTGAGGCTGCCAAAGAGCAGCCTCCCTGCAACTGCAGGCAGCAGGGCCAGCTAGCCAGAGGCAGGGTTGGGGGATGACCCACAATTCAGGAAAGAAGATGGGTAACACCAGGATCATCTCTGGGGCAGTGGTACCATCCATCTCCTGCAGGAATGACCAAAAAAAATCTCCACTGTCCACAGGGTTCGAATCCAGCATGGGAAGGATGTTGCAGCAACATCTAGACTCTGCCAACAAGCCTGCCATCAACAGCTCTGTCCACCAATGGGGGACAAGCAAACATCCCTGTCCTCATCTGCTTTTTGTTACTGGGAGGAACAGGTGATCAAAAGCAAGTTGGGAAGGAAATGGTTTATTCCATCTTACAGATTGCAGTCCACCACCAAGGGAAGCCAGGGCAGGAACTCAGGGCAGGAGCTTAAAGCAACAGCCACAGCAGAAATCTCTTTTCTGGACAGCTAACCATGCAGTGCTCAGCTACATCTCTTACACAGCCCAGGCCCACATGCCCTTAGACTGGCACCTTTCACAGTGGGCTAGGCCCCTCCTATATCAACTAGCAATCACAAAAATACTCCCAGAGACATGCCCACCAGTCAACTGGATGGAAGTAGTTCCTCAATTGGGATTCCTTCTTACCAGTACGTCTAGGTTTGTGTTAAGTTGATAAAAAACAAAACAAAAAACCCTAACCAACACAATATCCCACATCATTACCATGCCACAGCACCAAATCTGGTCTGGAATCTCTCAGTGATACGGAATCAGTGCTTCCAGAGACTCAAGAGACAGAGGTATCATTAGTAAGTCACAGTCCTAGATTCAGTGGTAAGATGCTCTAGGCGCCCTAGCAAAATACTCCAGCGCCCTAACATTTCTGCAGGATGGGAGTTCAGGCAATGTTCGCAGCCTCTGATAAGGCACACAGATGATATCACTGCCACTTTCAGTATAGTTAGAATGTGGTTTTCATGCAAGAATCTCCAGACATGAGATATCAGACCCAAGACCCTGCAGGCAGGAATCAGTGCCAGACACTGGCCCTTCAGTGTCCTAGATGGACAGAATGAAGTTATAGATCTCATCCTGTGTGCTCAGCCTACCCAGTTAGCTTGCCTTTGCCAGGGACTGCCGAGGGCTGGGCTGCTGAAGAAAGGAAGATCCCTGGGGCTTGCTGACTGTCAGTCTAGTCAAATCAAGGCGTCTGGGTTCAGTTAGAAACCTTGTCTAAAAGTAAGGTGAAGTGACCAAGGAGGGTACCTGCTATCAACCCAGGGCCTCCACACACATGTACACATATATGCACATGCCCATGTCTTTCTCTCTCTCTCTTACCAGACACACACACACACACACACACACACAGAGAGAGAGAGAGAGAGAGAGAGAGAGAGAGAGAGAGAATATCAATAGAGAGAGAGAATATCAATAGAGAAAGAATATCAATCCTACCCCAGGTACATTAAACACTGTTCTAAAGAGGTCTTAACGGATCAGGGAAATTCACCAAAAGGTATATGTACTCCACAATGGGAAATAATCTTTCTCCCAGCCACTCCCTGCTGACAGCCTCCCCATTCCTTTCACAGAAGGCCACCTGAGATGACATGAACCAGACAGGTAGGTCTTTCCTGGTGACAGGCAATGGACACATTCCCAAAGAGGAGCTGCTTTCCGTCTGACTGTTACCTTTTCCTGGGGAGATGTGAATGCCTCCTCACCCCAGATAAGGCACTAACAACAGACCAAAGTGAAGATCCCACCTAAGCCTGGCTCACTGTCAA